TAATAACATTGCCACCTTCTCAGAGTCTTTTGAGGATATCAGCAAGGAGTGAAGGTGGGGGTATCTCTGCCGTGTCTGGCGACCTGTGATGAGGGAACTGAGATGTTCACCTCACTAGACTGTGCTTTCTTGGAGGGCAGAGGCTGTGCTTCAGTCACCTTGTATACCTATACAGCCCTGGCATATTGTAGCAATTAGTAAACAATGATTAAATGATTATTAACTGATTATATTAATACTTGATTGCTTACAACATGGCAGGCCTTGGAAATATGAAAATGACTAAAATTAATCTTTATTTATTAAGCTTTGCTCTTCCCAACAACTCTGTGAAGTAGGGTTTATATTCAATTATCTTACATTCACTTATATTCAATTATCTTTACTCTAACAAATTAGGATTCTTCTTGTTTTTTGAGATGCTCGTACTGTTCTTTTTCTTCAGTTTGCAAACTTAATTTATTCACAACTGCTGAAAGTGTTACTGCAGTGATTATTTTAAATCTGAATTCCTTCAATAATGAGAAATGCGCAGATATACATCTCTTGGTTCCCCCTCTGCCTTCCCTGTCAGTCATCGTGTGCCTCCTCTGTAGATTCCCCCTGATGCTGGAGGGCCTGGGACTCAGTCCTTCCACCTCCTCTCTATCTGCACACATTCCCTTGGTGATCGCTTTTACCTTGTTGCTTTGGCTTTAAACAACATCTGTAAGCTGACAAGTCACAAATTTATATCTCTAGCCTAGACCTCTTTTCTGCTCAGCATACCTACTTCAAAGTCAAAATCCAAACTTAATTCCTGATCTTGCTTCCAAAACCTCATCCACCCACTGCCTTCCCTTCAAAGTTGTTGGTGACTCCATCTTTCCAGTGGCTCAAGACAAACCTCTTTCTCTCATAACCATATCCAAACTGTCAGCAAATCTTGTTGGCTATAGCTTCAAAATGCACCCAGAATTTGATAACATTCCTTAAACCTCCACTGCCACCACCCTGATCCAAGCCACCATCATCTCTCACCCAGAGTACGGCAATAATTGATCATATCACTCATTGGCTCAAAATCTTGTAATGACTTTCTATTTCATTTAGACCAGCAGCCAAAATTCCTACAATGACTAACAGAGCCAAACGTCTTTCCCCAAGCCTCTTGATCTTGTTTTCTGTATCTGTCTCTAGGACCTCTGACTATGCTGTTCTTCCAGCTGTATCTGAAATACACAGAGGGGTTCCTGCTTTAGGTTGTTCTACTGGCTGCTCTCTTTGCTTGGATGACTCTTTTAATTAATAATATTCACATCACTCCTCATCTCCCTCAAGTACTTACTCAATGTCGCCTTCTTAATAAGCCTTATGCTCACCACATCATCTAAATTTCAATCTCTTCTTTACCTCAGTATTCCCGATTCTCCTTAACAAGTTTTACTTTTCTTATATAGTGCATGCTAGCATGCCGTAAATTTTCTTATTTATTATATTTTGTTATTTATTATCTGTCTCTGTCTGCAAGAAGGTAAGCTTGGGGATATGGGAAGAAAGAGTATATTAGTCAAGGTTTACAGAAACACAGACCAATAGAATATAGATATAAACACGGATACAAAAGGACATTTATATATATATGCACCCAGAATTTGATCACATTCCTTATATATATGTTTAGATACATTTAGATATATTCCTATATATATATATTTAGAGAGTAAAGTGTAGATTTTCTTTCTTTTCTTTCTTATTTTTTTGAGACAGAGTCTCACTCTGTCACCCAGGCTGGAGTGCAGTGGTGTGATCTTGGCTCACTGAAACATCCGTCTCCCAGGTTCAAGCAATTCTCGTGCCTCAGTCTCTGGAGTAACTGGAACTACAGGTGCACACCACCGTGCCTGGCTAATTTTTGTATTTTTAGTAGAGATGGGGTTTCACCAGTTTGGCCAGGTTAGTCTTGAACTCCTGACCTCAGGTGATCCACCCGCCTCAGCCCCCATAGTGCTGGCATTACAGGTGTGAACCACCGCACCTGGCCTAAAGTGCAAATTTCTTACATGCATATATTGCATAGTGGTGAAATCTGGGCTTTTAATGTACCCATTACCCAAATAGTCAACATTATACCCAATAGGTAATTTTTGAACCCTCACTACTCTCGCATCCTCCCACCTTTTGTTGTCCCTGATGTCTATTACTCCACTCTGAATGTTCACTTGTACCTATTGCTTATCTCTCACCTATAAGTGAGAATATACAGTATTTGTCTTTCTGTTTGTCAGTTGGTTCACTTAGGATAATGGCCTCCAGTTCCATCCATGTTGCTGCAAAAGACGTGATTTCATTCTTTTTTATGGGCTAAGTAGTCCATGACATACACATACCACATTTTTAAATCCAATTATCCATTGATGGACACTTAGGTTTAATTCCTTATCTTTGCTATTGTGATCATTGCTGCGATAAACATATGAGGATAGGTATCTTTTTGATATAATGATTTTTAAAGGAGATTTACTATAAGAAATTGACTTAGGGGATTATGGAGATGGAGAAATTCCATGATCTACTGTCTGCAAGCTGGAGATCCAGGAAAGCTGATGGTATAATTCCATTCAAGTCCAAAGACCTGAGAACCAGGAGAGTCAGTGACATAAACTGCAGTCTGAGGGCATGATACTATTTGGATGTTGTCCCCTCTAAATCTCATGTTGAATTGTAATCCCCAATGTTGGAGGTGGGGCCTGGTTGGGGGGTGATTGGATCATGGGGGTGAATTTCTTGTGAATGGTTTAGCACCATCCCCTTGGTGCTGTCCTCGTGATAGCGAGTAGGATCTCATGAAGTCTGACTGTTTAAAAGTGTGTGGCATCTTCCCCCTCACTCTCTTGTTCCTGCTTTCACCGTGTGAAGTGTCTGTTCCCATTTCACCTTCTGCCACGAGTCAAAGCTCCCTGAGGCGTCCCTGGAAGGTGAACAGATGCTGGTGCCATGCTTGGGGCAGCCTGCAGAAGCATGAGCTACTTAAACCTCTTTTCTTTATAAATTACCGGCTCATGTCTATAATCCCAGCACTTTAGGAGGCCAAGGAGGGTGGATCTCTTGAGCTCAGGAGTTCAAGACCAGCCTGGACAACATAACAAACCCCATCCCCACAAAAATTAGCTGGGTATGATGGCACGTGCCTGTAATCCCAGCTACTCAAGAGGCTGAGGTGGGAGGATCACTTGAGTCCAGGAGTTCAAGACTACAGTGAGCCAAGATCGCGCCACTGCACTCCAGCCTGGGCAACAGAGCAAGCCCCTGTCTCAAAAAAATAAAAAAATAAATAAATAAAATAAACATAAACATAAACATAAATTAGCCAGTCTCAGGGATTTTTTTAATAGCAATGGAAAGAACAGTGTAATATAGGGCAGAAGAATATCTGAGATGAGATCTCCAGCTCAAGTAGTGAGGCAGGAAAAATGGGAGGAATTCCTCCTTCCTTAGCCTTTTGTTCTATGCACCCGCTCAGCAGGTTGAATGATTCCCACTCACATGGGGAAGGCCACCTGCTTAACTGAGTCCAATTCAAATGCTGATCTCACCCAGAAACACCCTGACAGATACACCCAGAAGCAATGTTTCATCTGGGCCCCATGGCCCACTCAAGTTGACACAAAAAATGAACCATCACAAGAGGCAGTGATCTGTGTCAGTTTTATTCACTGATGTATCCCAAGCATCTAAAACAGTCTGAAGCATGGTGTGTGCTCAGTAAGAATTGCTGAATGAATGAGCGAATGAATGATTGAAGATAAGCGGTGCTAATTGACATCAGGACTAATAATATAAATGGACAGTATGTGCAATCAAAGTAGATAGAAGTAAAATTTCAAAGCCATAAGGTGCTTTAAGACTCACCCAACACAACCCGTTTAAAACATTTAGAAAACAGAACCAGAGAAATAAAATGATTTATGAGAGATCATTCTGCAAACTAGTGGCAAAGAGTAAAGAGAATCTGAGCCTTTTAATTTAGTAGTTTTCCTCAGCTCTTCACTAGTTCTCTTGCCTAGGGAATGCTTTAGCCTAGACTTCTTGAGGTTCCAGAGGACAGTCATAATTACATTTAAAGGGTGTTTAACTTATTTTTTCTTTTTCTTTTTTTTTTTTTGACAAAGTCTCTCCATCGAGGCTGGAGTACAGTGGTGCTATCTCAGCTCTCTGCAATCTCCACCTCCCAGTTTCAAGCAATTATCCTGCCTCAGCCCCCTGAGTAGCTGGGATTACAGACACGCCACCACGCCAGGCTAATTTTTAAATTTTCAGTAGAGACGGGATGTCGCCATGTTGGCCAGGCTTGTTTTGAACTCCTGGGCTCAAGTGATCTGCCCGCCTCGGCCTCCCAAAGTGCTGGAATTACAGGCACGAGTCATCGCACCTGGCCTGTTTAACTTACTTATTTCAGGAAATATTAACTAGTGCCTAAGAAATGGTATCTTGATAGCTCACACACTAGGCCCAGGGACCCCAGAACAGACTGATATGGATTACCAGACCAAGTGACAATGCCCCTCAGGCTTATGGATCCCAGTCTGTGGACAGTGGGCTCCCAAAATCTATCACCAGTTGTCTTGAGCACCCAGCCCTCTACAGCTTTCTCTGTCTTTATATGTGACGTGTTTCTCACATGCCATGAATTTTAACATCAATCTCAGTGCTCTTTCTGCTCATTATCTTAGTGCGTCCTAGTTCAGAGGCAGTTCACACCTTACAAAAGATGTCATTAGCCTTTGCGATATTGGACCAAAACATTACCTAGGAAGAAACGAGTGCTCACTAGTCTCCTCCCAGTGGACAAACGTCCTCTCATCCTTGCTCTGTCTCCTTTCACTAGGTGTAATCCTCTTCCTAGCCAGCAGGAAAAGTTACGTTAGTGAGCACCCAAGTCTTCTTATAACCGAAGTTAATTTCTACTTTTTCCAAATGGCGAATTTACATACTTTTTTCTGAATTCTTTTTTATTGTAGAGGAAGAACATGAAATAAAGGGAAGAGAGAAGAAAAGGAAAAAGTTTGAAGAGAAGAAAAATTGCTCGGAGGAAGAGCATAGAATTGAAGCTGTTGAGCTATGATCTCATAGCCACCAATATTTCTCGCTAAGAAGACAGAGAAAGCAATCCATGGGAGTTACTTATCCACAGTAAACAAGAAGCAGGGATAATGACGAAAGTTAAAATCACTTACTGATTAAACACGATGATAATAACCATTAATAAACGCAATACTTGGGAAAGGTACTTCACAACATTTCTGGGACTCAGCATTATCCAAAATATCTATTCAGAGCTATACACCATTCTAGCTGCAATGGATTGTACCAAAAAAAAAAAAAAAAAAGGCCAAAGTGGTTACAATAATAAAATAGAACACAGAGAAAGAAGAAAACTACATGTGTTACAATTTGGTAAGGTACAACAATAAAAAATAAATTTTAATCACCTTTTTTTGGTCCTGCGACACACGTGATAATTTATGTCTTCATTCTCCTAACAAATGATAATGAAAAGCTATAAGCAACTGTGCTATTGCTTCTGTATCTGAAATAAGTGAAAGAGGGGGAAAAAAACACTATATATTTTTAAAGCTTCACAGCAGAAATTCTGAAAGACTTACGTTCAATTTAAACATTAGCATTGCCTCAGGAGGCTTTAAAACACAAATGTCTACGTTTTCTGAAGCAATATGGTTTACAAAGACATGAGTTTTTGTAAATCTCTGGTCCCAATACTATGTAAATCCTTAATGTGTATGCATCCAGGAAAAATTGTCATTCTGTGTCCTTTATTCATTCTAAAAGCTGAAAGTTTTCTGTTATTTATAATTTTTTTTTTTTTTTTTTTAATTTGAGAGAGAGAGAGGGCCTTGCTTTGTCACCGAGGCTGGAGTGCAGTGGTGTAATCACAGCTCACTGCAACCTTGAGCTCCTGGGCTCAGGTGATCCTCTGGCTTCAGTCACCCAAGTACCTGTGACTACAAGCATGTGTCATCACACCCAGCTAATTTTTGTAATTTTTTGTAGAACAAAGGCCTCTCTATGTTGCCTAGGCTGGTCTCAAAATCCTGGACTCAAGCGATCCTCTGCCTCAGCCTCCCAAAGCACTGGGATTATACACATGAGCCACCACGCCTGGCCTGTTATTTATAAATCTTACAGACATTAAACCATCACAATCAAGGCTGGACAGCATTATAGTGGCAGGAAGGAATCCACGATACAACCAAAGATACCTAACTGCATCTCGTAAGAATCATAGCTCAGGTCTCCATTGCCAGAGTTTCAGTCATGTGAGAGACTTGCTTTATCTGTACGTACCCCTGCCCTATACTGCTCACTTTCAAGAAAGATTCAATAAAGATGGCTTTCTGCCACACAGAGATAGGCATACTAGTGTAAAGAGAATGTTTACAGAGTTAACCAAGTAGTCGCCCAGGTCAGAGTAGTAAAGTTTAAAAGCGCTCACTAAGTGAGAGAGGACAGAGAATGGACTTCAAAGATTAGCAGATCTGGGTTTGAGTCTGCTCCAACCTTTCCTTATTATATGACCTTGGGCACATTACTTACTTTCTCTGAGCCCTGGTGTTCTCTGAAAAAATGAACATTTAAAAAAATCTTTGCTGGGTTGACAAATGGATGAGAGATAGTATAAGTAAAATGTGTAACTCAGTGCCTAGGATCATTGCTGAATAAGGCTATCTATTATTATTGGAAAGCATTTTGGGACACTTGGACTTTTAAGTTTACTGATAGGGTTTTTCAGAAAAGCAGAAAAATCTACAACATGGTTTCAAATACTTGGATGAGGCTCCATTCACTCCCTTAGCCCATCTTACATATATTCCTGCATTGACTGGAAATGGGAAGCACTTCTCAATTAGGAATCTTGTCAGGTCAGCCGGGCACCATGGGCATGCTTAGAGTCCAAGCTACTCGCAAGGCTGAGGCAGGAGGATTGCTTGAGCCTGGAAGTTTGAGGCTGCAGGGAGCTACAGCCTGGATGACAGAGAAGACCCTATCTCAAAAAACAAAAAAATTTTAAAACCCGTCAAATTAGATGTTAAAGAGTGCATGTAAAACAAAATCTCCCTAACATGTTTATGAAATAGCTGCAAAAGGCTGAGCACAGTGGCTCACATCTGAAATCCCAGCACTTTGGGAAGCCGAGGCAGGTGGATCACCTGAGGTCAAGAATTACAGAGCCTGGCCAACATGGTGAAATCTCTTCTCTACTAAAAATACAAAAATTAGCCGGGCATGGTGATCCATGCCTGTAATCCTAGCTACTCAGGAGGCTGAGGCAGGAGAATCGCTCGAACTTGGGGAGCGGAGGTTGCAGTGAGCCAAGACTGCGTCATTGCCCTCCAGCCTGGGCAGCAAGAGCAAAACTCCATCTCAAAAAAAAAACAAAAGAAAAGAAATAACTGCCAAAAGCCCAGGCTATTATTTTGTTACCCAAAGCATAACCAATCTACCAAAGCAATCCAAAATGCTTCAGAAGGCCAGGCACGGTGGCTCACGCCTATTATCCCAGCACTTTGGGAGGCAGAGTCAGGTGAATCACTTGAGGCCAGGAGTTCAAGACTAGCCTGGTCCACATGGTGAAACTCTGTCTCTAAAAATACAAAAATTAGCTGGGCGTAGTAGCACGTGCCTGTAGTCCCAGCTACTCGGGAGACTGAGGCACAAGAATTGCTTGAATCCAGGAGGCAGAGGTTGCAGTGAGCAGAGATTGTGCCATTATACTCCAGCATAAAAAAAAAAAAAAAAAGTGCTTCAAAAGCAACTGTACTGCTCATAATTATGTATAACAGAGACATACTGAACATAAGATTTCTGCCATTCATGTCTGCCTATAAGGATAGACAAACTATCTCAGATAAAAGCTGAGATATTTCTTCAACGGTATTCTCATCGAGCATAAAATATTTTTTTCAATGTAGTAACAAACTTACCATCTTTTATTTTAAGTGTTCTATCATTTTTGATTTGCATTCAGAGTAATAGTAAATTGAGTGAGAAAGTTCTGAGTTTTTCAGAAACTGGAAGGTGTAGGAATTTTCTTAAGAAATCGTGTTCTCATAGCAACTCATCCCGGTTTCTTGATGAAGGAGTTTGGATAAGTATATGAAGTTTGGAGTGTTTATTACAACTCTCAGACCTTTTGAAATTTACCTATCACAAATACTTTCTGTTTTTATGTGTGCAGTTAATATAGATTTAAATATATACTTGCCTTCTGAATTTTATTATAGATATACAGATACAGACACCTTATGTTTCTTTCAATAGAAGGATCTAAGAAATAAACATTGTCTTTAAACTCTAATCACACTTAACAAAAAAGTTCTCTAGATCTAATAGCAACTTTCAAGCAGCCACATACTAAATAAAGAAACCTAGCATCTCTCCATAACTTGTCCTTCCATCTCCCAGAAAATCAGCTGTTCTTATTCAAAAGGGGTTTCCATTTTGTGAAGTATTTAAAAGGCAGCAAAGGAGAGTTAATAATTGGAGAAATATGATGGATAAGAATTGCGTTTCAAACTTCTACTCTTGACACAGTCGGAGTCCGGCACTGGAGCTAATGGGTCGCTATGCTGTTCACTGAGAGACTAAGAGCCAAACAAACAAACAGAAAGTTTGCTCAGATACGAGAAAGAGTCCATCAGGAAAAATAAGAAGATAGGGGAGAGAGACTGAAAGAAAGGTATAGTGTTTCCAACAAGTAAACATTTTACTTTGCCTTACAATAGGCAGGAAAACAGTCTATTCTTTGTGATTTTCCATCTGTTAGTATTTTAACTGATAAAAGACTGAAGTACTTTATTTCTCTTTGTTCTGATTTGGGAAGAAAGAATGGGACTTCAGAAGCACTTATTCTTAAGAAAACCTTTGTATTTCAAGCAGCCATAACAGTAATGAAATATACAGATGGGTTCAAAATGTTACCTCTCTATTTATCAATCCAAATGAAATGATTATTATCTAATGACTGGAAAATAGATGTCAATTTTTCTAAAAGTAAAACCAACAATCCGTTATTTGTGCTACCTGGAAATAGAGAAAGAATAACTAAGGTTCACAAATAATACAAGAGCTGACTTCATTCAGTGGTTTCAAGCTTCTCTCAAGCTTAATCTATTATTTGAAGAGTTAACCAGAAACTAAACCAATCAGCTTAAGTTTTAACTTTTTCTTCTTTCAGCGCTAAGTCCTTGTGGAAAAAGATATTAAAGTATAAGGAAAAGACCCTAAGTCTTGCAGGAAGTAAAAACATGAAGAGAAAAATGTGGAGAGACAAGTAAACTGTGTTTTTCCCCAGTCTCAGAATTTATCCCGCTCTGTATAACCCAGAAGTGACTCAGAGGGCACAACCTGTGTGTCTAGCCTGGACCCCACGTGCTCTGCTACTGGGCTTGAGTCATTAATCTTCTGGCCACCGATTTTTCTCTCAAAAATTACATGAGCTTCCCCCATCAATAAATATCTTTAGTGCTCTATCCATTAATTTCCCACCCACTGAATAAAGGTTACAACAACTATTCATGAGGTTAGGTTTGTTTAAAAATACAGTTTACATCAATTAAGTAGGGTACATTAGGGAATTAGAAGGAGAACAGAGAAGGCAACAGTGTGTGCTTCCAACCCAACTTCAGGGGCTGGGACAAGGTGAAATTACAGAGATCACAAACTGAAAATACTAAACAGGAATGACAGGGGCTGGTCCCCACATGTATCACAGCCCACCATTTCCAGAGACACAGCTCTCAGGTTCCAAAGGGACTAGTTGACATCAACTGCAAGATGGTTTTCTAGATCCCACAGCCTTTCTCAACAAGTTTACAGGAGAATTAGCCATGCAGAAAATTATTTGAGTGACTATTTTTTCCATTTTCCCAAGGGTTGTGCATAACTAGTACTATTCTAATTGCACAGGACAGAAATTAACTCATGACATTAATGCCTTAGGGTAGGTGTTGACAAACTAAGAACAGAGCTGCCCACCCGTTTTTGTAAATGTGTGGGGTTTTTTTGTTTTTGTTTTTGTTTTTGTTTTTTAATTTTGAGTGGAGTCTCACTCTTTTGCCCAGGCTGGAGTGCAGTGGGCTCACTGCAACCTCTGCCTCATGGGTTCAAGCAATCCTCTCACCTCAGCCTCCCAAGTAGCTGGGATTACAAGCATGCACCACCACACCTGGCTAATTTTAGTAGAGATGAAGTTTCACCATGTTGGCCGGGCTGGTCTCGAACACCTGACCTCAAGTAATCCACCCACCTCGGCCTCCCAAAGTGCTGGAATTACAGGTGTGAGCCACCACACCCGGCCCCATTTTTGTAA